TATGGCACTGTCGTTTGGGCCATATTTCGAGGGGGAGAATTGAGAGACTAGTTAAGAATGAAATTCTTCCTCCATTGGAGTTCTCAGACTTAGAACAATGCATAGAATGCATTAAAGGAAAATTTGTAAAGAGCATCAAAAAGGGTGCAAAACGAAGCGCAGGAATTTTAGAGATCATTCATACAGATATTTGTGGTCCATTTCCTGTGAAAAGTGTGGATGGCTATGACTCGTTCATAACATTCACAGATGATTACTCCCGCTATGGTTATATTTATCCAATTAAAGAGCGATCAGAAGCATTGGATAAATTTAAGATATTCAAAGCTGAAGTTGAAAATCAGCATGATATAAAGATTAAAGTAGTAAGATCTGACCGTGGGGGGGAGTACTATGGTCGACATACGCCTTATGGGCAAGTCCCTGGACCTTTTGCAAGGTTCTTGCTAGAGAATGGAATAGTAGCCCAGTATTCAACACCGGGCGAACCTCAACAGAATGGGGTAGCTGAAAGGCGCAACCGTACCCTTATGGATATGGTGCGCAGCATGATGAGCTACTCCACACTACCACTCGGTTTATGGATGGAGGCGTTAAAAACCGCCATTCATATTCTCAACAGAGTTCCAAGCAAATCGGTGCCCAAAACACCGTATGAGCTATGGACAGGAAGAGTACCCTCGCTAACTCACCTCCGTGTGTGGGGGAGTCCTGCAGAGGCCAAAGTATTTAACCCAAATATTGGGAAGTTGGACCCCAAAACAGTCAGCTGCCATTTTATTGGCTATCCTGAAAGATCAAAAGGCTATCGTTTCTACTGTCCAAACAGTTATACAAAGTTTGTAGAAACGAGACACGCCGTCTTCTTGGAAGACGAAATGATTAGGGGGAGCTCGGTAGTTCGAGAAATTGATCTTGAGGAGAGGCGGGTGTCTGTACCCGCTCCGTCGACTCAGGAACCTTTCTTCTCTCTACCTGCTGATGTTGTGCCTGCAATGCCTGTCATTGAGGTACCAGCACCTGTTGTTACCCCTCCTGTGGCAACAATGAATGAGAGTGAGGAACCTGTTATACAGGATTCAACAGAAATGGTTGCCACACCAGAGGAGGAGCTACAACAACCTCAAATAGATAATGTGCCAGTACAGGAGACTCATCAAGAGCCTCAGGTACAGGATGTGCCAAATGTGCAGGCCCCTAGAAGGTCTGAAAGAGTCAGAAGATCGGCTATCCGTGATGACTATAAAGTTTATAATATAGAAGAGTCGCATATGGAGGATGATCCCACCTCATATGAAGAGGCCATGAGAAGCGCTCGCTCATCTGAATGGTTGGAAGCCATGAAAGATGAAATGGAATCAATGAAACTAAACGATGTTTGGGATTTAGAAGAAATTCCTAAAGGAGCCAAAACAGTAGGCTGTAAATGGGTCTACAAAACCAAATATGACTCCAGAGGGAATATAGAAAAGTTTAAAGCGCGACTTGTGGCAAAAGGCTTCACACAACGAGAAGGGATTGATTACAATGAGACATTTTCTCCAGTCTCTTGTAAAGATTCCTTCAGGATTATAATGGCACTAGTGGCACATTATGATTTGGAATTACATCAGATGGATGTAAAAACGGCATTTCTAAATGGAGATTTGGAGGAAAAAGTATACATGGCGCAACCGAAAGGTTTTGTCATGAAAGGAAACGAAAATATGGGATGTCGTCTAAAGAGATCCATTTATGGATTAAAGCAAGCTTCGAGACAGTGGTACTTGAAGTTTGATGGGACAATAAAGAAATTTGGGTTTCAAGAGAATGTCGAGGACAATTGTATTTATTCAAAGTTTAAGAATGGGAGATTTATTTTCCTAATTCTGTATGTGGATGACATTCTACTGGCTAGTAGTGATGTCAGTCTACTGCAGGAAACAAAGAAATTCTTGTCCTCAAACTTTGACATGAAAGACCTCGGTGAGGCTTCATATGTTTTGGGCATAGAGATTCACCGAGATAGAACAAAGTATGCATTGGGACTTTCTCAAAAGACATATATAGAAAAGGTGTTGAAGAAATTCAACATGTACAGATGCAGTGCTACACCTGCTCCTATAATGAAAGGCGAAAAGTATGGGGCATCGCAATGTCCCAGAAATCAGTTTGAGCTCAATGAAATGAAAACAAAGCCATATGCGTCAGCTGTAGGAAGCCTACAGTACGCGCAAGTGTGCACACGACCTGACTTGGCATTTGTTACCGGGTTACTTGGCAGATTTCAGAGTAATCCAGGCCTAGAGCACTGGAAATTGGTAAAGAAAGTCTTGCGTTATTTGCAAGGAACAAAAGGCCTCATGCTGTCTTACAGAAGATCAGAATCACTCCAGATAGTGGGGTACTCAGATTCTGACTTTGCAAAAGATAATACAAAGTCAACATCGGGATATGTGTTTACCCTGGCAGGAGGAGCTATTTCATGGAAAAGCTCAAAACAGACTATCACTGCAGGGTCTACTATGTATGCCGAGTTTATAGCATGCTATGAGGCAACGGGGCAGGTGAACTGGCTAAAGAAGTTCATACCCGGTTTAAAGGTGGTTGACAGTATTGAGAAACCACTAAAGTTATACTGCGACAACGAACCCGCAGTAATGTACGCTCACAACAATCAGTCAAGTGGTGCTGCCAAACACATTGACATAAAGTACTATGTTGTGAAGGACAAAGTCCGGGATCAAACAATCAGTCTCGAGCACATTAAAACAGAAAGGATGCTCGCGGATCCGCTCACGAAAGGCCTACCACCCAACGTGTTCAAGGAACATGTAGCCGGCATGGGTTTAAGGGAAGCCTTATGAATCCTGGACTACAGGGCCCAAAAGTAAAGTATCTGTTTCTGAATAGAGATGTGTATAGTGGCTGTCGAATCCATCGGTGATTGACCGTGACGATGAAACATGCTCTATTTACAAATCTGTGATGGAATAGAAAAAGCTAAAAGAAAAAGTGAGATCAAGGGGGAGAATGTTAGATAGATCTCTCTCCCCTTGAGCCCAACGGCTCAAGGGGGCCTTGACCGCGCCCTGATCGGGGGCGCCCAGCCCAATGGCTGGTGGGCCCCCGTCACACTGCGCCATATAAAAGAGGGGTGGAGGCCGGCACGGCACATGGTTCGAGATTCACCGCCGCCGCCAACTCCACCCTACAAACCCTAATCCGATCGAGAGGGGGCGCAGCCAGTGACGGGAAGCGCCACCGCCGCGCCACACCTCATCGCCAGGACATCCACGACCGTCACTCCCGCAGCCGTCATCGCCGTCGACCACACCGGCGCCGCATCCACGACAACCGAGCGCCAACGACGACGATGGCCGGCACTTCTTCATCCTCCAACACCTCAACCGGTCGGTCTATCTAAACCCTCTCCCGTTTTCAATCTCTATAGTTCAAACATCAATTCCAAATAGAACCACCCGACTAGATCTAACCTAGGTGATCCTAGTGCAAAGTCCAACAATGGTATCAGAGCAACCCTAGTGTTTAGATCGTTTCGGGGAAAGAAATCCAAAGAAAGAAAAGCACAAGATCCGCACGGATCAAAAGAACCAAAAACCCTAACCCTAATTCTTACCTCGTCGCCGGCCGTCGTCGACGCCGGCAACGGAGGGGGGGAGGGGCAAAGAGGCGCCGCCTAGGAGCCACTCGACGGCCGCGCGCGCACCTGCACGCGCGTGCCGGCGAGGGGGCCCGCGGCGGCGCCGCCATCTCCGTCGTCGCCATCTCTCTCTCACACGGTGGGGGTTAGAGACGGTGGGGGGAGCGGAGAAGAGAAAAGAAAGGAGCGCCGGCCATGGCAATGCATAAATATATGCAATCACTTGCTTAATATCAACACGATTCAACTGCTTCCAAGTAAACAATTAGCAAGCGCGATTAGTATATTGAACATCGTGCACAATACAACTATGTGCGACGACATTGCTGAGAAGAGAAGCAGGGAGACACAATATCTCAGTCTCTCAGACACTTTTTTTCTGAATTACCTCCTCTCATGCTTACAACAGCAAGCCGCAATCCATAACTGTCTCCTTCTTTTATTAACCTTTAATTATGCCTGCTTAAATCGCCTTGTCAGACGCTGGTTGGTCCATTGCAAAAGTCAGCTCATCTCATGCATGCATTTCACTTTATTTTCTCTCTCTATCCCCAGAGAGAGATAGAGTAGAGAGAGAGAGAGATCAGCAAGAAGGAGACAGCTACCACGTCCTTCTTCTGCTCTGCTTGTAATTGCAAATAGTGGCTAGCTGCTGATGCTGCTGCCATAGCATGTTTCAAAAAAAAAAACTGACATATTATAAACTTGAAAAATGGATTAATCTCCTATAATCGTAGTTGGGACCCTTAGGCTATCCTTAGGCTGTATTTAGTTCCACGTCAAAATTGAAAGTTTGAAGAAATTAGAACGATGTAACGGAAAAGTTGGAAGTTTATATATGTAGGAAAGTTCGATGTGACGGAAAAGTTAGAAGTTTAAATAAAAAAGTTGGAATCTAAACAGAACCTTAGCATATCATCTCATTTCTTATAAAACACTATTTAGTCAATAAAAAAAGAAGAAGAAAAATACAAGACAAATCGATTAACATAAGATCGATATATCGCTGCATAAACATATAAATTGAAATTCGTCTTCTACAAGTTGTAAAAAAAATAAACTGATAGTATCACTCCACAAACATTGTTTTTCCACGTTTAACTTCTACAAGATGTAGAAAAAGTATAAATTAAACTAAAACTAGTATGCATATATAGAAGTCGAATTTCAACTTTTATATTTGTGAAATAATATATCAAGCATAAATTTATGTTATCATTTTCTTTCGATTTACTTATAACTATTTATGTGAGACATGTAAAAAACGAGGGATCTCTCTCGAGATTAAAAAAAATGGTAGTACGGAGTACTAGTAGCCGGCTAGCTGCCTTTGTTTCAGAGAAAAAAAAATTACAAATAGCAGATGAGATGAGAGATAAGTAGATGACACATTCACAGTTGCTATAGTTGTTGCTGCCACTGCCTATTAGCTAGCTTCCTCTCATTCGTAAGTGGCAGCTTCTTCTTCTTCTTCTTCTTCTTCTTCACTTCCTCTCTCTACATCTACCCAAGAACACCTTCTCTCTCTCTAGCTCTCTCTCTCTCTCTAAGCTAGCCAAGAAGAGAGTGAAGAGCTAGCTTAGTGTGAGTGTGTTGGTGGCTGCTATGGCGAGCACGAACGGCAAGGAGGAGGTGTATGTGAAGGAGGGGAGCAAGCTCTACTCGAGGATGATGTCCAAGGAGGCGGCGGCGGCGGCGGCGCCGCTCGCCGTGCCGTCGTTCAGGGTGTACTACGGCGTCGCGTCGGCGGGATCCGTACCGTTCCTGTGGGAGTCGCAGCCCGGCACGCCCAAGAGCTCGCCCTCCACCGCCGTGCTCCCGCCGCTCACGCCGCCGCCCTCGTACTACGCCTCCGCCGGCAAGAAAGGCGGCGGCGGCGGCGCCTCGTCCGGCTCCAGGAGGAGCGGCTGGTCCGCCGGCGGCGCGCGCGGCGTCCTCGGCGCCATGTTCCGGCGGCCGTGGCGCCGGACGTCGCCGTGCTCCACCTCCTCCTCCTCGTCGTGGTCCTACTCCTCGCCGTCGTCCGTGTCGATGTCGCCGGTGTTCACCGTGCACCAGGCGTCCCCCATGGCGGTGGCGCGCTCCCACCACACGCGCGCGTGCTCCGCCGGCGCCGCCTACGACGACGCCGCCGCGGCGAGGTGCTTCGGCATGGAGCGCGAGTGCGAGAGGGGGCTCGTGAAAGGGTGCGGCGTCGCGGTGGCCGTCAGGAACGCGCTGTCGTCGGTCGTCGGCCACAAGTCCGGCGGCCACGGCGGCGCGCCGCCGGCGGCGGCGGCGGCGTATTAAATCCCTCCGCTGCACATGCACGCTGGCCGCTAGTATGTACTGCTATCTAATTTGCGTTTTTTCCGGGGTGTTCTTTGCATTTTGTACGCCATAGTACAAACATGTACGTACTTACTCTACGTGATAATATGGAGGAGAAGTAATTAAGTGTAAGGTTTTAGCCGTGTACGTATTTCTCTGTAGCCGTATACGTATATTATACGGTCATGCATGCATGTCCTGAAAATATGTGTGCTTGTTCAGTTGTTCCAAAAGTTGATGGGTACATTACCATGGATATGGTGACGATGAGCAGAATAGATTTGATCTAAATTTTCTCCTCCTCTTCTCAAGTTCATAGAAAATTTATGCATAAAAAATAGATATATATTTCGACTTCGAGTCGTCGGTAATTAGTTAATTATATATGTTGTAGAAAAACTGTATTTTTTTTGTGAATTTATCAGTAGTTTACTTGGAGTCTTCTGGGTGAGTTTTCACAAATTTTAGTCAACTGGACATACATAGTTTTACTGGAGTACAGGACCCAATGAAGCCATTAACGAATCTTGAGAGAAAATTAAAGCACAAATCTAAGGATTGATGCCCTGTCTGAGAGGCTCGTGGTTCATACAAGTCATATCTCTGTCATAAATCTGCACTTATTTGTTATCTGCAACTTGCATGAAGAGGAGTGCAACATGGTAACATGGAGCTCTGAACTAGGATGCATATTTAAATATAAGTGGCACATAGCCAATTTAAGATTCTTCAGAGGCTCTGGTTTTGCCCTCTTGGACATTGTTTCTTGGACTTCCAGCTTGGTGATTATTAATCAGTGTGTCTTAATTTTTGTTTAGTTACTTCTTTTCTGATGGTCATGAGAAAGGGAGAGCTTGTTTACCCAGTCCAATGTTCCTGGATGATGCTACCAAGAAGAGGACAGTAGTGGTTAAGCTGTGCTGATTTCTTTTTTGCAGTTTCAGAATCTGAAAAGAGAAGACCAGACTTAATTAAAAGGTTGATTTGGACTGGAGATTTTAGCTGAAACTTCTCTTTTGTATGATGATTATATACCATGCATGCTTAATAGATTGCTTCATTGATAAGTGTGTACTATTCAGACAGTTATAGCTCTGAATTTGGCTTGAGTTTGCAGTCACTTTCTCATGTCACCCACTCTGGACTTCTCTAACTCCTAAAACCCTTCACCCAAAGCATTGACCTATAGTCAAATTAACAGCTTGAGCTCTTAATTGCACCATTCATGCAATTGCAATATCTGATTGAATTAGCACATATGACATATATGGGATCCAATTACAACAAGATGTTAGTACTGAATATATTTTTTTTTGCGATGATTAGTACTGAATATTTAATATATCTGAAACATGAATTCACTGCTCTGTTCATCTTCTTCAGAAGAATTGAAATGCCATGTTGCCATGGATGATGCATTGCCCACTGGCCATTACATGATGCTGCAGGGTTGCTTTGCTTTGCCCCATCTGAGAGGCATAAAGTAGTTGGAGAAACAGCAGGGAAGACACTGAAGTTAATGCTCTTGAGAGGACCAGCTAGCTAGCTCATCATGTGATGCAAAATCAACATGTGTGATGGACCCATGTTTCACTCCAATGTAGTAGTAGCAGTAGTGATGAACTAGCTGGAAATGCTAGATGCTTTAACCAGTTGCCAAGGCAAGCATTTGCTACAAAAGACTAAAGATCAATTGCACAAGAAATGATTTAATTTGCCACCTTTGCTGAGGTTTAATGATGGACTTATATTAGTAACACATCAATTTCTGGAAACTGTTTTGAGTGGAATTTCAAGTGACAGGTGTATTTAATTTGCAGCTGAAGACCAATATCATTGTACAGTTTCATCTTTCGTGCTTACAATGCAAGATACAAAATGGATTTATTATGGTAGTAAGTGTTGATTAAGAGTTTGAAAGACAGTTCACCAATGCGCTAAATAACAAGGAAAATTGTTCTTATACGCGTGTTTAGAATTATAAGCTTGAGGATTACAATCACAAGCCTAATTATTGCATAATTTGATTTTTTTTTGAGAAAAAAATGCCCTCTTTTAGAATATGCATGAGATTTGCCCATCTTTTTTTATTAAGATGTGGGGGAAGATACGTGTATTTCATATTATGCAATAATCAGGCTTATGATTCAGTGCATCCGAGGAGTTTATCATGGTGACGATCTACTACAAGTACAGAAGAAAAATGAGAACAAGACTTGTAATGTTTGTATTCATACTTCCATAGCGTTGACGCCATCATGAGTTCATAAGCCTCTGAATTTGTCAAATGAATTAGGTACGTTGCATGTGTAATCCTCAGTATAAATTACTCTGTTTCCAAACCTAATCCATTCTGAAGAGTCATTACAGATTTATAACGAAGACATTTGTGCAGCAACTTGACAACTTTACGTTTTTTGCTTTTTCCTCCTTTTCCATCTCAAATAGCAGATGTTCCAAATATAATTGCAACCATGTTCCAAGATATTTTTTATCATGGAATTTAATCTAGTCTCTGTCTCTCTGATGAGATCGGAGATGTATCTTAAGCTCAAGTGGAGAAAAGTGTATGATGTTGTAACAAATACACTGTCACTTTTGGTCTTTTTGTAATTTTGTAACAGGAAAAGATCTAATGATTAAGCTTAAGCGTACTAGGAAGATTGCACAAGACGACATTGGTCAGTAACTGATGTGCTTATGCTAACTAGAGCGTAATGCCAAATCAACTAAAAATTGATAGGAACCTTGTAGCTGCAAGGTTGTTAATCCATGGATCTTTTGTTGTTTTCAGGCTTTGCATGGAATGCATTTTACAAGTACGATGATGAAAGTGATCATTCAGCTGCACACTGTTCCTGTCAAAAAGATACCATTTTGTTTTCAGTTAATTGTTCTTCTTTGTAGTGCGTGTCTGCATTCTGAAACTTCATCCACATTTATGTTTACAGCCTCTGTCTGCAGTTAATGAAAATAAACACAAGTCAGACCATGTTTCTATCTGATTTGATGCCTCAAAATTGAGCAAATTGTCTCCAGCTAGTTGTGGTAAGATCAAGTCGAGCAAGTACTATCTGAATGATGCATTATTAACGGTACAACATTTCATGAATGGATCAAGTAAAACTTCTGACTTCCTCATCCATGAGAAACACACACAATTGAATCCATTCTTCTGAATGATGTGATGCCCAAGAGGGACAAGACATGGCAGTGGTCCCTACATGTGGTAAGATTAAGTCAAGCAATCCTTAATTGAAAATGATGCAATATTGGCCATATTTGTTGAATCAATAATATGCTAAGGAGAAAAAAGAGAGAATCTTCTTGTGTTTTCTTGTGAATCATCCAGTCTGCGCATCCTACTTAGTACACATGTGTTACTTTCAAAAACAAAAACAAAAAATCAGTTACAAATCAATAAATTTGCAGTTTCTAACTGGAACACAATCATCAATTCTACACTGGCCTACTGCTATGCATGGATTGGATCATTGGAAAGTGAAAACAAGGAGGAGATTGTAGTTAAACTGTAGCTATAATATCCTCTCCATGATGCCTACACTTGCAACAACAAATTTCTTTTGCAAAGCAGTGACCATGCATCCTTTTTTGTGCAGGACATGAGAAGGAGGTGTGAAAATGTGACACCTGAACTGAAGTCCTGGTTCACCTAAATTACTTCCATTATTTTGATGACAGATCATGCCAATGGAAATAAACAGAGGTAGAATCTAATTAAAAAGAAGATGTGATTCAGAGGAGTTGAAAATAGACACCTCTGGATGCAAGTGAACATGTGGAAAAGAATGCAAGTGCCCTCTGAAAGGTGTTCTTTTTACCTAGAACATTCCATTAGCAGTTAGGTGAAACCTCATTTTGTCATTTGGACAATAAATCAAGTCATTGCACATCCTGCTCAAATACACCAACTGTGTTTCAGCTGAGGTGTACATTCAATTCTGAACTCACATCACATCTGAATTCTTTAGAGGAATGCAAGTACACCCAAAGTAACCAATGCTTCTTAATTACTTGTAAGCTCTCTGCAGCACAATAAACAAGAGCACACCAATATAGTTGTACTATTAACTGCATGAGTCCCAAGACATTTCAGATATAATGCAAGGTGTATATGGTTGTGTTTAGTTTAGCGCAAAGTTTAGATTTTGGTTAAAATTAGAGATATGTGACTGAAAAGTTGTGTGTGTATGACAGGTTGATGTGATGGAAAAGGACTGAAGTTTGGATCCAAACTTTGAATCTAAACACAGCCTATATGATGCCACTTTTAGAAGCCTCTGGACTGGAGCAACCTAACCAAGTTTCACCTAACAACAACTAGAATACACACAGGCAGGGTTGCATGGATGCTTGCTGCCATTGGAAAATCTGAAGAGATAAACAAGTACACCCTAGTCCCAAAATAAACCAATTTTTCAAGTCCTAAGTACATTTATACTAGTGGTTGCGGGGATAGATAAGGAGTATTAAAGAGATAAAATGTATTATCTATCTAACAAATTAAAGGGATAAAATTTCTCGAATCGTAGACTGGAAATAGGTAAGATAGTATAAGTTTCTTTATTTTGAAGCAAGATTTGAATTTTAGAAATTGATTTATTTTAAGATGGATGGAGTATAGGGGAGCAGGAACCAAAGAAGCATGTGAGAAGCATTGTGATTAAATTGACCAAAAAAGACCTTTGGCGAGAGAGAAAAGAAGAGAAGAGAAGAGAACACTGCAATGCAGGGATGCATATGATCCTCACCAACTTCTTGACTATGAGCAACTTCAGGGACACATCCATGATGGCATTTTCTTGGTGTTTCTTGCTACACCACATGCTGACATCTCTGCCTCATGCTGTCCGGACCCAAAGCTGAACATTGCCCCAAAACCATGTGTCGGGTATCTGGTGTCGGTGACGACCAACTAAAATCCAAAAAAAGAAAAAGAAATACAATCTCACTTTTTTGTTTTCTAATTCTTGGCTTGTGGAACATCTCCGGGCACCAAAATTACGAAAAAAAGTAATATTTAGTTTTTGTTTTAAAAAATCCTATTTTGTTTGTATTTTTTTAAAGAAGATCCTACATTGTTTATATTTTATAAAGATAAATGTAGCTTTAATTGAAATAAATATAATTACTTCAATATGATACCATCATCTTGAAATCATTTTAGATTATTGTATAGCCCACGTCGTTTATATGACTTCGTGAAACATCAATGCTTTCCATAAAGTTTACACTTTGATTTAGATAATTGAGAAGATTATTGTTGTAAATTATCTAGTTGAATATAGGGGTAAACTAAATATTCTGATAAATAAAATTTAACAAATAGCTTTCAAAAGTTGTCTAAGCATATATACA